ATGGCAACGGAGAATTTTACCACTAAACCATCGGCGCTGATGGTTGACTGAATCGTCAAGTGACAGGAACAAAGCCGCAAGTTGCTTATGTTGCAGAGCGGTGAGCGAAGTTGTGGGCGTGATGGTGGGGGAGAAGGGCTTCAGGGTTGGGTTGTGTTCCCTAGACAACTATCGGCAAACCTCGTCCAAGCGCTTGCGAATCCACCAGTTCCCCTCTCAAGCACAAGGGCCGCACAGATTTGAGATTCCCGTGGTTAGATTAGCCTATCAATGCGCATCAAATGGTTCTCGAAGCCCACTTTCAGCCAACGTCAACGGAATGTCTTGAGGGGAGTCGGGGAGCGCTGAACGTTCGTCTGAACAGCGAGGGCAACACAGGAGAGCCAATCGTTTAGCGGATATTGACAAGTATGGCAGGACCCTTTAAAAGACGCCTGAGGGGAACGAGAGGCTCCATGTTACCTAAGTCTACTATGGCTGCCACGTGCAGACGGATACGTAGGACATAGGCACATCACACAGGGCCGGGCAGCAAGAGAGAGGGGTCGCTGCGGACGAGGTCCGACTGTCGGGATGCCCGACATGCGCATGACGGGCTTCAGGTTGCAGACTCGGGACAAAATAGGAGTTGAGACTGGTTTGCCGCTGGGAGGGAGGGCTCTCCTGTTGTGTTGCCACAGGAGGCCGGAAGTCCACTGCCAGGCATCTGGGTTGCTTGCTCAAGCCGAGTCAGGCGGTGAGAGAAGCAATGTCGGGGCCGAGAGTTGGGCGGCGGCAAGAGAGGGATGGCAAAATCAGAGGACGACTCGTAGGCAGTCGGATTGTCACGGTATCAGACGGATACTCACCCGGAAGTCACTGCTGTAAGGTCCTGATAGAGGAGACTCTCTCGCGACCTGCCTGGGTACAGACATTTGACCGTTGCCGGGCAGTCACAGCACCAATGACCGTTTTAGCAGACGAGTATCTGGAGGTAACCTGGCCAATTCAAACGATGGCAATCCCAGCCACCACCTCATTTAATAGCCGCCGTGCACCTCCCTCTCCTACACATTGAAGTCCAATTCAACAGCAGCTGAGGGCGAAGCGAGGGGAAAGGAAGAAAAAAACCAAGGTGGACAGGGGTCCGATAAGATAAGCCCACCAAGCCAGGCGGGAAAAAGGGCAAAAATTCCTCGCCGCCCTCGAAATTTGTGGTATTGCGCTAGGCCGGTCTCACGCTAGAGGGGGGGCTGGTGGGGCCCCGGCCCAGAAAAAAAAAGTCGAAATTTATTTTTTGCCGGCCTTGACAAAATCTCTGTTCGGTTGTGTTGAGTGCGAGAGAGAAATTCTTTTGAAAGGACCCCACGTCGCCCGCCCGCCCTCTTTCACATATCTTCCTCCTCCGCGCAATCCTCCAACCTTACCTTCCCTCCTCCACCCCTCACACAGGTCGACTTTGTCTTGTGCAATATCCCAAATTCTTCAAAATGGCGGACGAGGTCTACGATGGTGCCATTGGCATCGACTTGGGTAAGTTGCGCAACCCCTCCTCATCGTTATGATGCCCTTCTTGTCGGCCCTCTTTGCGGGGTGAAGAAACATCACCGATCATCGCCACCAAAAACCACCACACATCAGCCAAAAAAAAATCCCATCACCACTCAGCGCCCACGGGCAAACACCATCTACACAGCGCAGAAACCAGAAAGGCTAACATTGTGTCTTCCTCATTAAAGGAACCACCTACTCCTGCGTTGCGACGTACGAGGGTACCAATGTCGAGATCATTGCCAACGAGCAGGGTTCTTTCACCACCCCTTCTTTCGTCTCCTTCACCGACAAGGAGCGTCTGATCGGTGAGGCTGCCAAGAACCAGGCTGCTATGAACCCCATCAACACCGTCTTCGATGTCAAGTGAGTAGCCGCGCCTGTATCTTTCGCTGCTCTGATGCCTCTCTCTGGGCCGACGGGAATTTTCCCCGCCCAAGGAGGGGTAAAACAAAAGCAGCCGAAAAAATTTCCATCACCAAACACTTTGCTGACTAGCCGTTCCTTCACAGGCGTCTTATCGGTCGCCGCTTCGATGACCCTACCGTCAAGAAGGACATGGAGTCCTGGCCCTTCAAGGTCGTTGACGACAACGGCAGCCCCAAGGTTTCCGTCGACTACCTCGGCGAGACCAAGACCTTCTCTCCCCAGGAGATCTCCTCCATGGTTCTCCTCAAGGTACGTTTCTTCTGCTGCTCGGCTTGTACGCCAGGCGCCAAGTTTGTGCGACGCAACATGTTAACACCCCAAACAGATGAAGGAGATCGCCGAGACTAAGATCGGCAAGAAGGTCGAGAAGGCCGTTATTACCGTCCCTGCCTACTTCAACGACAACCAGCGTCAGGCTACCAAGGACGCCGGTGCCATTGCTGGCCTGAACGTCCTCCGTATCATCAACGAGCCCACTGCTGCCGCCATTGCCTACGGTCTTGGTGCTGGCAAGTCCGGCAAGGAGCGCAACGTCCTCATCTACGACTTGGGTGGTGGTACTTTCGATGTCTCCCTCCTGAACATCCAGGGCGGTGTCTTCACCGTCAAGGCTACCGCTGGTGACACCCACTTGGGTGGCCAGGACTTCGACACCAACCTGCTCGAGCACTGCAAGAAGGACTTCCAGCGCAAGACCAAGAAGGACCTCTCCGGCGACGCCCGTGCCCTCCGTCGTCTCCGTACTGCTTGCGAGCGTGCCAAGCGTACCCTTTCTTCCGGTGCCCAGACCACCATCGAGATTGACTCTCTCTTCGATGGCGAGGACTTCACCACCCAGATCACCCGTGCTCGTTTCGAGGAGCTGAACGCCAAGGCCTTCAACGGCACCATTGAGCCTGTTGCCCAGGTTCTCAAGGATGCTGCCATTGAGAAGTCCGGCGTTGACGAGATCGTCCTCGTTGGTGGCTCTACCCGTATTCCCCGTATCCAGAAGCTTCTGTCCGAGTTCTTCGACGGCAAGAAGCTCGAGAAGAGCATCAACCCCGACGAGGCCGTCGCCTACGGTGCCGCCGTCCAGGCCGGTATCCTCTCCGGCAAGGCCACCTCCGCCGAGACCGCCGACCTTCTCCTCCTCGACGTCGTTCCCCTGTCCCTCGGTGTGGCCATGGAGGGCAACATCTTCGCCCCCGTCGTTCCCCGCGGAAACACAGTTCCGACTATCAAAAAGATCAGTCGTCCCGTTCTCTATCGTCTCGAATCTGACTAACATCCACACACAGGACCTTCACCACGGTTGCCGACAACCAGCAGACCGTTCAGTTCCCCGTTTACCAGGGTGAGCGTGTCAACTGCGAGGACAACACCTCCCTGGGTGAATTCACCCTTGCTCCTATCCCTCCCATGAGGGCTGGTGAGGCCGTCCTTGAGGTCGTCTTCGAGGTCGACGTCAACGGTATCCTCAAGGTCACCGCCACTGAGAAGACCTCCGGCCGCAGCGCCAACATCACCATCTCCAACTCTGTTGGCAAGCTCTCTTCCCACGAGATTGAGAATATGATCAACGGTATGTGCAGCTTCCAGTCACAGTATTGAATGACGTTGCTAATGAATATCAGACGCCGAGAAGTTCAAGACCAACGACGAGGCCTTCAGCAAGCGCTTCGAGGCCAAGCAGCAGCTTGAGTCTTACATTGGCCGTGTTGAGGAGATCATCTCCGACCCCACTCTGTCCCTCAAGCTCAAGCGTGGCCAGAAGGACAAGATCGAGCAGCAGGTCTCCGAGGCCATGGCTGCCCTTGAGATCACCGACTCCGCCGCCGAGGACCTCAAGAAGCAGGAGCTCGCTCTTAAGCGTCTCGTGACCAAGGCCATGTCTTCCCGCTAAAGGGTTTTAAATGAAAACTAAAAATGGCCTTCGGGCCTGGCGAAGGGTTGCTTATCTGGTTCAACTTTCTTGCGTTTGGGTGGCCCAACAGAATCAGGCCAGGATGCGAATAATTTGGGTCAGGTGATATCAAAAGGCACTTAAAAGTTCCTCTTTCTTCCAGCCGCCTTCCTCCCTCTTATACCTCCACACCATCTCTCACACACTCACGACACATGGCATGCCTCTCGGGAGAGAGGGAATGCTTTCCGGGTGCCGTCTTCTACGGCTTTCATAGACACTGTAGAAAGGATCAGGGCGGACATGAAATGAAATTACGTCTACGTTACTATTAAGTCTTTATTTTCGCGTGATATGTTTTTGAGAGTGATGCCGTTACTGTTGGTCTTATCGTCGTCATCGTCGTCGTCGTCGTCGTCCTCGAGTAGCTCTGACGTGCACTCGATGGCCTGGTAGCAGGTCTGAGTAAGTCGAGACGAGGGGCAAGCTGCATTCTGGGCTGGAGACGAAGCATGAAGCCCGGAGAAGGGGGACGGAGCCCAGAGAGGATTAAGGACGGAGACAGAGGATGGAGACAGAGGACTGAGACAGAGGATAGAAACAGGAATGATAACGAAACCGGAACTATGGCTAAACCGGTCGCAGGGTCTCATAAAAAGAATCTGTTCTTCATTTCTTCAGCGTCCTAGTACCAGTGTCAAAGAACAAGCAACTGCCGCGTAGGTTGTTCACACTCATATTGTTTCTGAGGGTGCGTAATAAACCATCTCCATGATTAGACACTAATTCAATTGCATTGGCATGGTTGTGAACAGCAAGTCTCATTCAGCTCGCTGTTCTCGAATCTGCGAATCAGAGAAGAATATTATGCGGTATCGTTTCCAGGTTGCGTGATTTCCTGATTTGTGGCCGGGCCTCATTTGACTTGAAAACCTGAAATCAATTCGGAAACTACAGCATCAGAGTCGGGGATTGTTCTCGCCGACATTGTTCTTAGCTAAACTCGTGCTTATTTACGTTTCTGAACCCCAACCAAGTGGTCAAACGAGACATTCCCTGGCTCAGAGCCACCTGAACTTGATCATTCAAGTGCAACATCTTCAAGAAGTCACAGGGCATCCTCTCAGAGGTCCAAATACTCAAAAATCAAAACAATTGATCTGGCCCGGACTTGAACCGGAGACCTTTAGTGTGTGAGACTAACGTGATAACCAACTACACCACCAGACCAGTTAAATCATTGTGGAGATCGCGAGGACAAGATTGACTTGAGGGAGGGGCAAGGCGCATGGGATCGTGGTCGTCAGAGCTCAAGCGTGGGTCGCGGAGTGCTGGCCCGCTTGGTGGGCCGAAGCCGGGCCGGAGTCCGGAAGCCGCAGGTCTACCGGACATGTTGGCGACCGCTTTGATACGGCGTGCAAGATTGATTTGGCCAGCCAATTTGTGTCTTGTGCCCCTTTAAAAGTTTTTGGTTACATGGGCGAAGTTAGTTGCCAGCAGTGGGAAAAGGTAGGTGTGGAGATACTTTGCTGCGTTTCTTATATATACAGCAACATGTCTTATTCCGAATAGTGGCTCAGTAGTTGAGTCTCGACATTAGTAGCTCTGAGACCGCTTACTACGGGCCCGAAGTTGTATTTGCGCTTTCTTATAAGCAGACCTATAAGGAGAGCAAGTTTCCCTAGCGACATGGGCTTCACCATGACGTGTCTAAGAGTTTGCGAATCTTGGGGACATTTTCGTCTTGGTATGCAGTCATGAACAACAAGCTGACTGTTTTTTTTCGAATCGGTACTTGATTGCAACCCAAAAATCTCCGAACGGGTTTGTTGCAGTCGTTCGCTGCTCTAGCCTGCACTAATGCTTAGGTGTTGCTAAGTTTATTTCTAAGTGACGGTCTCGAATGAGAGCAAGGCAGCTAGCTAGAATGAATTGTTTATCTTTGTACTCTCAAAATCTGCCAACCCAGAAAAGTTTCATCATTAGGATAGGTAGTCTTAGAGATGAAGTTGAAATAAAACTAACAAGGGGAAGGGGCCAGCGCGGTAGACTTGCCACTGTGGGGCTCACAGACGTCAATTAGGTAACCCCCCTCCCCCACCCCCCTCCATTCTAGCCGTCACTCCTCCATTTTCATTGTCTCTCGACCAACCGATCGCCGGCTCATCACGCCTGAACAGCGGAGAGCTACCAGGAGCAGCCTCTCATCTTACACGACGGTCCATCATACTCCACGCCTCGTACGGGCTGATCCGATACATGCCCGTCAACCTCCACTGCGATGGCTATCTGCGTTTTTGACAAGTTCTTCGACCTCCCCCAGGAGATCCGTGACCAAATCATCTCATACCTTTGCCTCCTCCCGAATCCGATCCAGGTAGGACCGACAGTCGACACAGAGATACCCTTCCCGCATGACCTGCTGCTTTCCCACCCACTTCTTTACGCCGCCGGCTCCGCCATCTTCTACGAACAGAACCGTTTCATCCTCAACCTCCGCGGCCGGCCCCGCGCCGCTCTCGAGCGCGCAATCTGTGACGGCACGCCGTGGCTTCTGGGCAACACTAGAGCCCGACGCCGCGTCAAGTACCTAGAGCTCTCGCCCGGCCGCCTGGGAAATGTATTCCAGAGCCACATATCCCCAGCCGTGGCGGATATGATTCTCAACGGCTCGCTGCGCCACCTCAAGCTCGTGCTGTATCCCACGAGCACCGACAAGGTGGTCTTCAACCATGATGCCGTCGATGCCCAAGGGCGGCGGGCGGCGATGACGAGGCGAGACGATGCCTTTACCCAGTCGAAGCCCTTCAAGGCCTTGCTGCGGTTACTTGCCGACCCGGATCTGGAGACGGCGGAACTCTTTGTCGACCCTATCCATCGCGACTTCTGGTGCGATTTTCATGAGGGAGTGGCGTGCTGTAAGGGCCATCCCAAGGGGCCATGGCAACTGATTTCTGTAGACTGGAAAAAGCTTGCTGCAAGCTACGGTCAGGATCATGAGCTGAGCATTGTCAGGGTAACCTCGTGATGCCAGTTACACAATCAAGGCCGTCTTGTTATGACATAGTATCCACCTGATTCGGTGCTTAGCTGCAGAGGCGTGTATGTGTCTTTGGGGGTGGTCAAACGCCATAAGAGACCACGGATTTCCAGGATGACGACACGGAGAGCAGACTCACGATCGATATACGGGTTAGAAGGTTCACCTACTTTTACCTGGGTAGATATGTGGCTTAGTCTTGTGGTTTAGTTCTCGTTTCAGACTACTACAAGACTTTCACGAATGCTCCATGCCCAGCTTCGGCCACCTTCAGGACAGCTAGTTGAAGCTCGGTAGCGGGTTTAAACTTACTAGGGTCAGTGGTGTCACCTCTGTGGCTCCTGACTTTTCAGTCTAACCCTGTGTTATTCATGGACAAGTACATATATGGAGTGCCGCAAAAGTCTTACGGAATTCGAATGGCAGTTCTTTAGGAAACTTAACTTTCCAAAAGATTGATACAACCCTCCCCCCCTCTATTCACAAGATTTTTACATCGACTCAACTTCACTCTATTCCCGCAGCTTTCAATTCCTACAGCTCTAATCGAACATCTACAAACTGGGAACGTCGGCTACATCCGCATTTTGCTCAAGTTCAACTTGTCGCCATGGACTCAATAAGTAGTTCCCGACTTCCGCCCGAATTGTGGCATGTCGTCTTCAAAACGTTGGTTCAGCAGTACGCTCGCCAAACTCAGCAGCCCGGTCGCTATCTCCTTAAATATGCGTGTGTCAACCGAGATTGGCAGGCCTTTTTCGAGAAGGAGCATTTCCAAAGGCTCACGGTGAGCCCGAAACGCATGCATCAGCAACTCGGGAACATGGACTCGCGGCAAAGACGGCTTGTCCGCCACGTCTAGTTTCAAATCGAGATGGCGACTTACCCTTGCGATTGCTGTCATAAGCCTCGTGGCGACAACTTCAATCACCGGGAAAGATACTGGGAAAGATGTTACAAAGATACTAAAATTGCTCAACAAGCTTTGCATGGGATTTTCTCGATCCTGAAAAACTGGTCGCGTGGCACTGATAATGACGGACTGACTCTTGAGATCGGCCTTCACTCCCCGAGTGATTTTCATTACCGCTTTCAGCACTATGGGATTGATTCATCATTTACTCAAGCTCCGGAACACTCGTCAATCGGATACCAAGTACCATCAAAAAATCCGATATCTGGATGTGTCAGTTGTTGTCGAACAGCGATTCCTTCACTGTGGTCGGACATGATGTTGTACGGCCTCGTCTTCATGGAGGAAAGCTTTCCCACAGTAGACGTGGTGCACCGTCTTCTCGTTCGCAGACAGACTCGCCGAATTCTGTCCGTAACATTGTGGGAGAATATGGTTAAGGCACTCGCAAATCTTGAATGTTTACACCAGGAGCTCTGGAGGGTGCGGGTAAACATTAATCATCTACAATACAGGTCAGGTAAGCCTACTACACCACTTTCCTTCGCCCCATTCTCTCTTCCTTTCTTTTTTTGCCATTTCTTGCGGTGTTCCCGAGCTAAGAAGTGAGGCAGTGGTTTCCAGGGTACTCTCCGCACTATGTAATTCTAGTGAGCTTAAGAAGCTGGTGGCATTCGGAGAAATCAAGCCGTCACTCGCACCTGGACCTTACGAAGCGCTTTCCGAAGAGCTGAAATCCGAAGAGCTGATTCACCGTCTCGCTATGAGCACCTGTAAATTGGAGCAGCTGTGCTTGTCCTACGTTGTGGACGCCTTCAAATTCTTAATCATCGCTGAAGGCCAGCCTGCCTTGCACTGGCTGAAGCTTGAAACCCTAGCACTTACATCGCCAAGTTTCCACATCGGAAATGAAGCGGGCATAATACAGATGCTTGAGACAGCTGCAAAACTCGCACGTAAGATGCCGGAACTGCGAACTTTGGAGCTTTGGAATGCAGAAAAGAGCCATGCTTTCGCCTTCACCTGCCGCATCACCCCCTCCGCGGTTGAAATCTTATATAGGGCAACTTGGGAGTTCAAGCTCGCGGGCTCCGTTGAGAAACTGTGGGAAGACTTTGCCCAAGAACGGAATCAAGGACACAAAGTCAGTGTCCAAAGGGGCCAGTTGATCAACGCCAGCGAATGGAAGTCTCATGGGGACGCCATACACGCTCTAAATTTGACGGCGGACGTGGTACATCCCGTGTCGTTGATGCAAATCCGTCGAGGGGAAATCATTTCTGCAGCTGAGATGCCACCTATGGAGCAGCAGTAAAACGGTCAAAACTATCACAAAGTCCCGTGGATTCTATTCAGGGTGTTTATGTTGGAAGTAAAATTGACAAAGTTTACAGATCGGATTTTATTAGCTCCATACTTCAATTTACGTTGTTGTTGCCATGGATAGGTTTCAGCGTCGCATGTATTATGTCGCGTGTGCTCACCCATTATTGCTGCTCGCCTGACTGGAAATCATACCATTTTTCGATATCCTAAGGCTTGTGTAAGAGTAGAGAGTATAATTGGCAAAAAAGCTTAAGCCGAACCATATTTGATAGATAGCAGCCAGGCTATCAGCCAAATTTTGAATCCGGTCACCTTGAAGGCGTGAGATCAAGCGAGTTCAGACACCGAATACCCCGAGGGAAACGGTTCAAAACTAACGTAATCCCTGAACGAAACCAACCTCAAAAGCTTCGAGCTTCTTTGTTGGAGCATCCCAAGTAACATGAGGCCCATTGCGGGAAATGTCCTGGCCCCCGGCGCGCCGCTAGACCCGCAAGCGCCGGGTGGGGCCGCGAGGAGCCCCGTAGTCAGTTTGACGGAGTCTTGGCGAGGCCCCCAAACCAAGCGACACTCCCCCTTCCGGTTCCCACTCCTATTTCATCTAAGAATGGCACCGAAACACGACGGTCGAGCCTCACGCCGAGTCCGGATGCTACCCTCCGTCCCCCGGGAAGATCTTTTCATAGAAACAAACACGCAAGGGCCCCTTACAGCACCATCGCATAGGCCAGCACAATCGCAAACCGCCAAGATTGATAGATTGCTTCACATCGAGAAAGAGGAACCAGAAACCCCCACGGCCTCTATTTACGTGCGCAGATGGGGGTGACTCTCAGACTTCAAACGTCGAACAGCTAGCTGATCCCGCGCAGCTTGGCGTGAAACTCGCACGAATCGGCTGTGCTACCGACCTTGCTCGCCTCAGTTTATCTTAAGCACAAAACCGAACAG